AAAAAAAAAAAAGAATCTCAAGAGTGGTAAGCGCTGAGCAGCTGGTCTGAGAGCCTCGGGGAGGGGGGAGGAGGGTCGGATGTGTTGCGGGCCAGGCGGCTGAAAACTCAGTTTCATAAGTTTCTCCATAAAGGTCTTGCATGTACTTCATAAGAGTGATCAGCACATGATCTTTAAGAGAGATCACTAGACAAAGCAAGGGAAATTTGTGAGAATCAAGAATGATGGACCCAGCCGGGCGCCGGTGGCTCACGCCTGTAATCCTAGCTACTCAGGAGGCTGAGATCTGAGGATCGCGGTTCAAAGCCAGCCCGGGCAGGAGAGACCATGAGACTCCTATCTCCAATAAACCACCAGAAAACCGGAAGTGGCGCTGTAGCTCAAGTGGTAGAGCGCTCGCCTTGAGCTGAAGAGCTGAGGGACAGCGCCCAGGCCCAGAGTTCAAGCCCCACGACCAAAAAAAAAAAAAAAAAAAAAGAATGATGGACCCATGTTCAGTTGGAGTCCAGCTTTGTACCACAAATGAGTGCCATAAAACTACTACACTCATCATATGGGTTTCAAGCCTTTGCAAGAGTTGTCATCGAATGATATGCTTTTACTTCAACTTAGAACTGGAATGACACTTTCTGGGAACAACTCAATCTGCTTTCATCCTGTAAAAATTTACATTGACAGATTTGAGGATTTGCAGAAGTCATGTTGTGACCCATTTAACATACACAAAAAGCTAGCCAAAAAAAAAAATTGCATGTAATTAACTTAGATGATGACACTTTTCTGAGCGCAAAATTTGGAAGACAGCTTGTACCTGGTTGGAAGCTTTGTCCAAAATGTACCCAGATAATCAATGGAAGTGTGGATGTTGATTCTGATGACCAACAGAGAAGGAAACCTGAATTGGATGGAAGAACTGCTAAAGCATTGAGGTCACTGCAGTTTACCAACCCAGGGAAGCAAACTGAATTTGCTCCGGAAACTGGGAAAAGAGAAAAAAAGGAGACTTACAAAGAGTTCAACTGCTGGTTCAGACAGACAAGTGATACCAGCCAAGAGTAAGGTCTACGAGAGCCAAGGCCTCCTGATTTTCAGTGGGATTGACCGACTGCCTGGCTGAAGACTGCTTAGGATGTTTCTTCGCATGCCCTGCCTGTGGCTGTACCAAATGTGGGGCTGAATGCCGCTGTGACCACAAGGGGCTCTACGAGCAAATAGAAATTGAAGGAGGAGAGATCATTCCTAATAAACATGCTGGATCATTTGTAGTATCAAACTTACGGGTCCTCCATTTCTAAAATCCTGTCACTCTTTCAGATTGTCAAAGATGCAGAAACCACCTCAGTATGTACTAGTATAGTAGTGTTTTATGTGCTTAGAGAAGTCATTTATAGAAGTCAGCTATAAGTCTGAGTTAATGTAACCAGTGGGTTTGCATGTTTCCCTACCAACACTGAGGAAAAGGGTACCTGTGCCCCTAGGGTGGGAATAGGCTTTCACATTAAAGGGTATTTACTGTCAGTACAGAAATACTTCACAGCACAAACAATTGTATGAAGTATTAATGTTTTGACAGATAATTAAAAGCCATGGAACAGGTTCCCTCAGTGATCATTATGATTGCTTTACATGCCATTTTTTTTTTTACTTTTTCAGGACTTATAATTTTTTTATTGTGAAAATACTGTACAGAGGGGTTACAATTACATGGGCAAGATAATGAATACATTTCTTATCAAGCATTGT